AAGAGCGAGTTCGTGGTGAGCGGCAGCGACTGCGGCCACATTTTCCTCTGGGAAAAATCCTCCTGCCAGATCGTGCAGTTCATGGAAGGCGACAAAGGCGGAGTGGTGAGCCCCAAAATCCCCCAAAATCCCCAAAATTCCCCAAAATTCCCAAGAATTTTCCCTGCATTCACCCCCTTTTCCCCAAAAAGCAGCGTTGTTTTCCCCTTGCTGTTTCCCGGGGTGTTTTGGGATCCCAAATTTGGCCGATCCCGAGGATTTTTCCAGCTGTTTCCTGCTCTGGGCTGCAGGAAAGGGAGGTGTCAGTGCTGGGAATGTTCCCATCCCAAATTTCCTCTGCTGGGAATTGGTGGTTCCCACGATTTGGGATGGCCAGGAAGGACCCCTGCCCTTTTTCCCTCTTTTCCCCCCTTTCTTCCCCCTCTTTTTATTCCCCTTTTCCTCCTTTTTTCCTTCTTTCCCCGTTTTTACCCTGGTGAGCTGCCTGGAGGTGCAAATCCCCCAGTCCCAATCCCAGTCCCAATCCCAATCCCAATCCCAATCCCATTCCCAATCCCATTCCCAACCCCACAATTCCCATTTTTTCCCATTTTTCCCCAGGTGAACTGCCTGGAGCTGCACCTTCATCTTCCCCATTCCCAATCCCATTCCCAATCCCATTCCCAGCCCCACAGTTCCCATTTTTCCCCCCCCAATTCCCATTTTTCCCCCCCAGTTCCCATTATTTCCCCAGGTGAACTGCCTGGAGCCGCACCCTCACCTTCCCCATTCCCAATCCCATTCCCAATCCCATTCCCAACCCCACAATTCCCATTCCCAATCCCATTCCCATTCCCCAATCCCATTCCCAATCCCATTCCCAATCCCATTCCCATTCCCCAATCCCATTCCCATCCCCATTCCCAACCCCCCAATTCCCATCATTTTTCCCATTTTTCCCAGGTGAACTGCCTGGAGCTGTACCCTCACCTTCCCCATTCCCAATCCCATTCCCATCCCCACAATTCCCATTCCCAATCCCATTCCCATTCTCAATCCCATTCCCAAGCCCACAATTCCCATTTTTCCCCCCCAGTTCCCATTATTTTCCCAGGTGAACTGCCTGGAGCCGCACCCTCACCTTCCCCATTCCCAATCCCATT